ACCTGCGCCATCGAGCTCCTATAAATATCATATAAAATATAAAATTTATTGTAATGTATATCTATATCCTAAATTATGTAATGGAAGATAACTTCAGAAGTATCTCTGAAGTCATTTTTCAACTTGACGACTCTGTTTATATCAATACAGGGAGAAAAAAGCAGCCCTTACTGAGTTTCTTGCCGGTTCTTCTCAGTACAAGGTCTCCCGCCGTAGTTTTGCGAACCGATGGCGTAGCTTCTTGACCTTCACAAGTGCTTGTAACAGCCTAGACTGAATAAATGACTTTTCATTTCATTTCATTAGTATTTTTTTTATTGTAAAAAGTATTATGCTATGTTTATTGCAGTCAATAAGACTCTTCTCTTAGACAACCGAGTCTCCAATTTTTACGTTATTACTTTTTACTTAATGTTACTGGATGTTGACCAAACAGAAGATGTTGTTAATATCGGAACAGGAACTCCAAAGCATTTCCTAAAAGAAGATTGCAGAAACAACGCACTAACGAGGATATTATATTGCGTATGGATGGTAACAGATGGCACGGCACGTTCCCTGCGTTATTGTCATCTCGGACGTGCTTGGATAATCTTAGAACTAACAACACTAAAAGTGGTAGAAGCGTGTTATTACCATCGATATTAAATACCCTAGATACACCACGTGCGCTCAAAATGTGTCCCAATCAAGAAGTGCTTGAACATGACTCAGCACTTCTTGGTTTACAGTCACACGCAGACCGTTTAGGCGTTTAGCAGACGACGGGGCGGGGCGGGCCGGTCAATTTCGCCGCGAATAATAGCACAAAGTGAATCCTATACTTCAAACGCACACAAGAGGGCAAAAAGACCGCGCCGCAGGTGCCCGGCGGGCAGTGGCGGCGCGGCATGTCCGCGGCTGCCCGCCGTGGATCATACAAACCAGTTTATATGCAGTAACGCAGACGGCGGCTCGGGGCGGCGTGGGGCGGTCAGCTCAGTCCGCGCCATGCGCTTTTTCTATTCACTAGAACGAACGTCCTGAACTGACCGCCTCTGCCCGTCGTGTGCTTTGTGTACGCGGCGCGGGCAGCCGTAGACATCGACGGGCAGACGCGGTCTTTATTGCTTCGCGGACAAAAAGCCCGCCCCACCCCGTCGTCTGCTAAGCGCCTTAAAAGTCAAGATGCCGCAGAGCTCCGTGGTTAAATGGGAAATAAATACTTATAGTACCTAAAGTGTCCTTTTTTCGACAGGTATCAAATCAATGTTTGTTAATTTAACTCATTTGAAGCAAATTTTGTTCTGATACTTATTCTAAACTGATTTAATAGAAAATATTAATTTGTGATATTCAAATGCATGGTCGGTAATATCGCCGTCTCTTTTCCTCGCGGTCCATACCTGGAGCTCTACTCTCTTTCTTCGAAACGAAATTTCGGCAACGAACGAATTTTAAACGAAATTTCGCCAGTGACTCTACTCTATTTCATCTTCGAACACGCACATAAAGTTCGGAATCACAGACAATTATCGTGAACGAAAGGAATGAGTTATGTTTGTGAGTTCTTTTTGTCTGCACTTTTTAGATAACGTTTTTCACTTCAAAACAATATTACTTTAAGACAACATTTTTGATTACATTAAAACAACCTCTTTTGACAGTGTTAGCCGACTAATTTGTAGAGTTATTATCTGTCAAATTCAACTTTTAGTTCCAAAGCTTAGAGAATTTAAATGTCAAAGTATGTTCGGACGAACGAATTTTCGAAATGAAATAGAAACAGAGTAAGGAACGTGCGAAATTTCGATCGGAATTTCGTTTTTCGTTGAAACAGAGTAGGCCTCCTGCTATATTGGTAACAGCGCATTCAGGATTGCGCGTAGATTCAAAGAAATAAGGTCTATATTATTACGTGTATAGCAAGCAATAAGTCTTAAAATTTTAGGTGTTTGCATTTCGAACTGTCATATCTCGGTGCTCATAACGCATGCGTTTTAATTAAGACCTATAGGGTCTTCAGTATGCATTAAAGCTGACTTTTAATGTTTAAATAATGCCTCATATTGTTTTTGACTACGCGATCACGTTACGGAGCTCCGTGGATCGTCCAATGTACCTTTTGGACTTTCGTCATTGCTCTATCGAAACGTCTTGGGCGGATCGTGCCTCTCTATCGCTTGTTCTGCGCTCTCGCTTGCACGCTCAGGCGGAACGTGACACTTTTTGTGCGTGCAGCCGGTGTTCATAGATTAGATTACGTACGTGAGAGTGAGATAGTAGGAGTATCTACAACAGAAAGTTGTCAAACTAAATGAGTACAGGAAAGTGGTGGGTGAAAAGGGGATTGGAGGATGAAAAGGATTTGGAGGCTGAAAAGGAATTCTGTAAATATATAGGGAAAGCCTGTGCCTAGCAGTGGGGAATTAATAGGCTGATGATGATGAAAGGGAATTCTACGGTGAAAAGGTATTCGAGGGTGAAAGCGGCGAAGAGAAGCCAGACTGACGCCGTAACGCGTTACGTAACGAAGCAGTTTACCCTCCCATAAGAAGTTATCACTTCAAAAACTTTCGTGAGATCTATATTTTTCATTTGTTACTTGTTTAGTTAGATTGTATTCTGAGCTTGAATTCTATTTCAGTCAATAAGTGACTGCTCTGTTTAATTATAAATGTATTAAGATCCAGTATAAAACTGGGCCCTCTTGTAGAAATTTTGCAGTCTCGATTTAATTAAAACCAGATTTAGCACATACAAGAATGAAGTTTTGACACTTCTGCATGGATTTAATCTACTTTAACTCAAATCGAGACTTAGCAAAAAGGCCAAGATTGTATCAATTTATAAGAATTTCTGATAACATTAATCAAGTTAACATCAGGCACTTGTCTGTGTGACCATCTTTCTACTTAGAAATATGGTCACTTAGCAACAATCTACAAACCTGGAGCTCTACTCTCTTTCTCCGAAACGAAATTTTGGTAACGAACGAATTTTAAACGAAATTTCGCCAGTCACTCTAATCTATTTCATCTTCGAACACGCACATAAAGTTCGGAATCACAGACAATTATCGTGAACGAATGGAATGAGTTATGTTTGTGAGTTCTTTTTGTCTACACTTTTTAGATAAGGTTTTTTACTTCAAACCAATATAGTAATATTGGTTTATAAAATAAAGTATTATGGACAACATTTTTGATTACAATAAAACAACCTCTTTTACCCTTTTTTTTTCTCTTTTTTGTAAGCAGCCTTAATTAAAAATACTGTAGTAGTCATTTTAGGTTTAATTTAGAAATAAAAAAACTCAAAACGAAAATGAAAAGGTAACACTTTGCATTTCGTCAATTTGAGGTAAAATTTCGAACAATTATCTGTCAAATTCAACTTTTAGTTCAAAAGTTTTATGAATTAGAGTAGGCTTAGAGAACTTGAATGCCAAAATTTTCGGACGAACGAATTTTCTAAATGAAATAGAAACAGAGTACAGGAACGTGCGAAATGAAATAGAGTAGGCCTCCTGGTAGGTACCTATTTTTCGTAACATAACAATTATTTTGTGCATCAATATCATATCAGAGGTTAAAGATTTTGGATAAATAAAACTCAGCCTTTATCAAAAACACTGAACGCTATATTGAATATTCTAGAAACAACATTTAAATGTCCTAATGTTCTTCAACTTTATAATTAAATCCTGTTTACATTCGATTTCATATTAAAAAAAAAGAAAAACAATTCTTAAATGTAAACAGTGGTTTCGTCTTAAATTAAAATGAATTCAAATTACCAAATGTACAATGATATGTGTAATATTTAATATCATTACAAATAAAACGTTACATTGAACTAATATTAAAAATGAAATTATTTATTTAAACCTACATGTTTTAAATAGTACATAAATTTAATTTTACACGATAATTAAAGCTAACATTGAATTTAAAGCTTTCTATCGACTTACGATACATAAAAAACTCCAAAATAATTGTAATTAAGTATATAAATTATATTATCAATATTTATTTGATATATTATTCATGATATCTGTCAAAGTAAATAATGATTGATTTGGAATAATATTTTTAAAATATTTGTATCGATTGACTCTTAAGATTATCAATATAATATAATAAATACATTTATTTAAATTTTGAGAAATTCATCGATTCCAAAACACATTTCGATACATACCTATGTCAATAAATAAAAATTATAAATTATATATCAATATAATTTTTATTATTTTTTATATAAACTCTGGCATACACAGCTGGCTAAATAATTGTTGAACATGGAATAATTCATGGAGATTTCTAAATATCTGATTTACTTAATTTTAGATCTCCTTAACCAATTTCTACTAAACAAACAATTACTTCAAAAAATAAATGGTATTTTTTCGTAGACATATATTATAATAAACAAAAAAAAAATATGTGGATGACCAATGATGTTTGTGATTTGTAATAAAATTTATTAAAATTCTGAAGTTTTTGACAATAATGTAAAATGTATATCATTTACACCGTAATGCAAGCAATAGTGTAACTTTAATATTTAAATATATAAACCACTAATGCCTAAACGTAGCGAATATGGACGTGGACTATCTAGCAAATGGACCTCCGTAACTTATAGTATTGTCCATAATTGTGCATTTATTTCATTTAAATTTACATTATGTATATCACAAAAGAAAGTCAGCTTGTAGCTTCAAAATCAATCATATTGACTAATTAGTTAAAATTCTATCTACATAAGCTTACACATCTTAAAGAATTAAACATTGGTCTTACATAAAATAACAACAACACATATCCCCATAATATTATGTTGAAAATGCTACGGTTATAGAAAAACATCAAGTATGCTAATAGTTCTTTTATTATAGTTATCTTAATGTATATGAAAACACTTATTTTTCTACTGTGTATTGTTTGTTTATAATTTTAGAATAATAATTAGGTTGTAAATACCACAATATTTATTTATCATATCAATCGATTTCAGCGCCTCACTGATTTCTATAGTTCGATTTGCCGAATAACATTTATCCATCTTTATGTTTTTCGTTTTCTCTAATTTTTACATTATCACAGGCTTACGCTGAAACCCCGGGGGTCATTTTTCATCGCACCTTAGTTTCACTGATATCTCTTAGGAAGATCTCAATATAATCTTCGGAACCATCCATATACCATTTTAATCACATTCTTACATTATAAATTTTAAATATAGTTCCAAATGCACTTGAATAAATTTTACACTTAATTTGAATATTGTTGAAAAGTCTCATTAACATTTTGTTTTAACTTCGTGTTCGTTTGTTTATTTTTTTTAGGAATTACTCGCGCGTCTTGAAGAACAGGATTTGGGGGTTGCACAAGGCGCAATCTTAGGCCCGCTGCTTTTCCAAGTGGTCAGAATGTTCTGTCCTGTTTAGGAAGGTTAAAGGAGGTGGGTCGGGCGGTGGTCGTCTAACAGTCGTGCGGCCACCGCGAGGGGTGGCCGGCTACGGATCACATGACGCAGCAACTCTTCGCTCTCCCCTTTAGCTCGGCTTTCAAGTCGCGCTTGCTTTTGCTGCGTCCCACTTGCTTCTGGGAACAAATGAGTTCAATATAGTAACCTGATTTTAGAGTTGGTTTGAATCATTATTGTTTGGTAGCCTTAGATCCAAAGTACTACAGATTGGTAAACTTTTACTCGGAAAAAATATATTAATTTTATGTTACGCTCCAATATCAACCTAGCGTAATATATTTAATTATTTTTGTAATGGTCACATTTTGAATTAATTTGCGGCAATTAAAACATGCGTAACGAGATCACATAGTTACTGTTATGTTATAAAGAAATTTAATAAGAGTATACTATCGTAATAAACTCAATATGTGTGGCAATAAGAGTCACAATTAACATAAAAAGTTCAAGCAACATATAGGGTTTTGAACTTTTCAACGATTTTTGCTATACTAAACTATTTTAAACATAATCAAGAAGACCATTTAACCCACGGTTCCGGCTATATGTGCTGTCGTTAGCAGTAGCAATGCGCACTGAACCCGCGTGGGTCATGACCTAATCTCTTCCTGTTCCATTTCATAGGGACGGCCTATGCCCCATCACTGGGGGCATTCAAACTGATGATGATTATACCTGTTGCTTGTTGAGTTTTCCTAGGGCCGCTAGAGCCGCCACTTCGAATGCATCTTTGACTCCTTTGGAAGATGCTCTGGCCGACGTCTCCACGTACGTTGTCGCTCCCAGTTGTCTCGCTACTGTTAGTGCCTGTAATATGAAATTATGACTGTTAAAATTCCATTGTTGGTAAAAAAATCTTGGCTAATGAAAATTACCATGAACGGTGGCCAAATTAATTATGAACAAGATTGGGATTTTTTACTTATGGAAATGAGCGTGTTTAAATGAATAATTAAAAGTAATAAGGGTACTAAAAAATAAAATATTATAACGTATAACAAAAAGTTATATTTCAATTAAGAGAAATCACAACAGTACATACAAGCTTTCATCGGTAGTACTTAAGGCTAAAAATTATGCAATATCCATACTTAATTTATATGCGAAATTAATGATCGATCTATTAATGTTTATCTAGGAATGACATACTGTCTGTTTTCCGATGTTTTATAATAAATAAAAAAAAATATACGAAAACACTTGTAAAGACAATTAATTATAATACGATGCAAATAATTAATACCAAAGAAACGGTATCATTTATTTCCTTTCGTCCGAATAACTGAAGTCCTGCCACGAAATTCAATAGCAAAGGAATTTCAGAAAATACGGTCTTTGGCAAGCGATTAATATGCAATTCATTAGCAGCTACTAAAAGAATCCAATTAAGTAGTCTATTAAGTGCGGGGCACTGAAATTGTTGTAGACATTTAGCAAATTTCTTGAATAGTATTTAAGTACCCAATTCGAATGCTTTTCCGGTGGTGAAAATGAAACAAAGGTACATAATGTATTTTTATTTATACATCGTGAATTTTGAGTTACCTGAGAACTAAAAATCGTATAAGTAAAAAAAAAACATACCGGCTGAGTAGAGAACCTCTTCTTAAATAGTGCGAACAGTTATAAACAGTAAAGGTACCAGATCCCCATATAAAAATTGATATGGATAAATCGTAAAAAAATATTGTAAACGGCGCAAATTTGTAATTAACATACAACACATACATAATACAACATAGATTTCTTGTTTGCGGAAATGTAATCCAAATCATTGTCATATTAGCTGGTCAGTAGTCAAGATTCGCAGATAACTCACAATTCACGGTCTAGAACTTCTGTGCAGAGAAAACATTTAAATACTTATAATTAAATATTTGCAAGCAACTTATATTTATTGAATGTGTAGTTTTGAAGTATAATGTTGCCCTGAAAGCACAGGGCTTGATGCAAATATACTATTGTTAGACACATCATCTAAAAAAAAACAATTTTAATGTGTAAAGACCGTATTATTCGCTAACAAACTGACTTTTCAGTTTGGCAAAATAAGATGTTTTGTGTACCTGTATTTTAAGTGAAAATAAAGAATAAAATAAAAAATACACATGTGACGCGCTCGCGCATACGCGGGGAATCCCCCTTCACATCTGTCAGTTCATTTTGACAACTAGTGCTAGTGCACCGAAATGAGAGCTAAACCATAGGGATGTTGCTTATCGATTGAAGTTCGGTTATTTCGTCTAACACTTATTTAATACAATTACAGAATTAGGACTTTGTAAAATAATAGTGAAAATATGCCGTTATTTTGATTTCATAAGACATTAATCCTTCAATAATTAAAAATGACGAAGCAAGACATCTCACTAACGAAGCTGTTCTGAAATGAAGCAAGAATGTTATTGTGTTACTTCAGATTAATTGATACGACCTTTTTAATTCAGGGGAGAACTTCAATACTTATGTTGTTGAATGCCAAATTCCTTTTAATAATTCATTACGTTTAATAAAATTACTGAGATGAAAGAAGTTAGGTATATTTGTATTTTTTGTAGCATGTAACTGCTAGATGTTTAAATCTAAAGAGTGCATTCGCCCGGATAGCAAAGGGTTCAGGTTCGAGTCTCGTCTGCTGCCTGGTCCGCGTGGATTTTTTTTGTAGTAAAAGTTTCTTTATGAAAGAAGTGTAACTTTTTTTATTAATATTATTTGTAACCACTAAAAATAGCAATTTGACTAGCTCGACTTTCCTCATCGTAGTATATCGACAGCGGAAAAGAATCAAATCATAAGTCAAATAGTAGGGCGCCATTGGTTCAAAACACACCAAAATTTACGTCACTTCAGGGTTGTGAACAATAAATTTTTTCAAAAAGTTGAGTTGCTTAAGCGCCAAAAAAGTACACAAATCTACAGGAAATATAAACAGATCGACGCAGAAAAAAAATCTGATTCAAATGATTTAAATTACTCATTTTTCACCAAAGTGGGCGAATAAACGATATTGCCTTACCACTATCGATATAGTCACTGCTATACCAAGAAATATAGCCACATTGGTAATTTATTTAAGATTATATAGCCAGTAACCAATTGAACAAGGATCTTTACCGATCAGAGAAATAATGTAACTTGGAGTAAAGCTTAGTTTTTTAAAGTGTTGTTAAAGTATTTCTGATTTATGCTATCAAAATTGTTATTGTGTTCTCGTAGTCTTTGTCTGTCATCTGCTTTAATATTATTTTGTGTACTACTTTAAAATAGTGTAAATAAACCCGTTGCGTCCAAAATCCTGGCCTTCATTTTCCATTCCACTAGCTCTCCGCTTCACTTAGTTTATTTTTAATATCAGTAAGTACTAGCTTCTGCTCGCGTCACCTTTCAACCAAATTCAATTCGGTTGTTTTCCCCTGATTGAGTACCAAATATACAAACACACAAACTTTTACATTTATAATACTAATAGGAAATAGGATAGGATTATATAGTTGTACATATCAAGTCAATGATTGGGAAGGGTACATTTGTCATCATCCTCATCTGAAACTGGGTATTTATCTACTTTAGTCTCACCTCTTCGCTGGTGACAGGATGCATCTTGAGCTTGGACAACATGGCGACCGTTTCCTTGTCGTGCCTGAGGTCAGCCTTGCAGCCGCAGAGAACCACAGGAGCTGAGCCTCCGTGAGTACGAACTTCTCTGTACCACTGTTGAGAAAAGAATATTGTTAATAAGCTTATTGAAGAATACGGCATTGTTTATTACGGCATGATTATGCAGGCAATCGGACAGACAGTCCACCTGATGGAAAGTGGGCACTTGGAGTACCAAGGGTACCACTCATGTGTTGCCAGCTCTGAAGGAAAAGGTTTGGCCGCCTTTTAATCACTGCCATATCATATAGCTGATATGGTGATCGCTTAAGATCGCTTTTAAATTTCTTAATAAAAAAAAAGCTTTTCTATTTGTTTATACTTTTTTGGTAGTACCATGGACCAATAATACGTATTATGTGTGTGTAAAAAAAATAAACAGAACTTGTGTAGCAAGCATGCTAGATATTACGCTATCCGGCGGATATAAAAAATCGGACTAATTTTAAGATAAAAATTCCGTGGTACTCATTTTTGTATAGACTACGATTTCTTTTATTTTATAGGTCCATGATAATACTGACAAAAAGACATAGGCGCATTATTATCGGTTTTCTCCGGGCTTAGCTACTGCGTAAAACGGTCTCGTGGGCATGAACCCTAAGACTTGTCGTCACCTTGACAGCGGCGTTGTGTAAGGTTTCTGGTTCTGCGATGTTGAAGCACAGCATGAAAATCCTCGCATCCTGGTATGCCAGCGGTCTGACCGTATCGTATGCTGTAGTTCCTGTAACAGAAACGAATGAACTGCTTAAAGGTCTTCATTATGACAAAGATTTATAGTAGAAGAGCTCGATGGCTTAAGTGGTTAGCGCGTTTGGCTTCGATCGTAGAACTTAAGCAACTTTCGCGGTGGTCGGTCATTGGGTGGGTGACCAAAAATTATTATCTCGAGCTCCTCCGTGCTTTGAAAGGCACGTTAAGCCGTTGGTCCCGGCTGCATCTGCAGTCGTTAGCACCCGCCAATCCATACTGGGCCCGCGTGGTGGGTCATGGCCCAATCTTCCTATGCCATCCATAGGGAAGGCCTGTGCTCCAGCAGTGGGGACATTAATAGGCTGATGATGATGATGATTATAGTAGAAACTCAGATTATAGCTGTTCTATAATCTGAGGGTAGAAAATAAGTAGAAAGGATCTTGGAGTTACATGGGGTCACCAGGTTCCACGAGGCCCGTTCCGGTAGAAGGCTTAAAATACTAATTAGACTAGCTGACTTAGATTAGGCTTAAGACTACTAATAGTAGTTTACATTTTATATGTCCATATCAGGCTCAAAGATAATGCATTTAATAATGATTTAACATAAGAAGGAGATAGAAAGCCTCTCTGAGTTTGTTTCGCCGGTTCTTCTCAGAAAGGTCTCCTAATTTTGGTCAAATAAATAAACTCAAAAAAAAAATTTAATTAAAGTACTTTATTAACTAAACTAGCTGTTACCCGCGGCTACGCTCGCGTGGTTTTCCTATTTGAGGCTATCATCCTCTTTTGACATAGTGAGTAAAAAAGTAGCTTATAGCAACCCAAAGCTTCAACCTATTAGTGCAGTCATTGAAGCGAAAAATACGGTCTTACCTCCGATTTTTCTTACTGTGAACCGTTTTGCATGAAATTTTGGAATTAGGCTCACCTTACCCTTAACTTCAAAAGTGAAAATGATCTGAACTCCGCCTATTATTTTTAAGGGGTGTAAACAACCCCTTAATGGAAAAATTGACATTGAGCCATTTCAGCAGGTAAGCAACAGCAAGCAGTAGGTAGCTACCTACCTTGATTGATTTTAAAGAAATACGATTTACCAAGGTACCATATCTGTTTTTGTTTTCCTTTGTGATTTGGTTTTGTTGTGCATTAAATGAATTTTGGTAGTTTCTTCGAATGTATAAAATTTACTCACTGATAAAAATTATGGAAAAACACATAACATCGTGTACAGTAGCGTACTTAAATAGTACTGCTATGTGTTTAAAATAATTAAACCCTTTATTCTAATAATACTAATGCTTTTACATTTTGAAGTTTTATTACGTACTATCCATAGTAGTATTAGGTATTATTATGAAAGTGTTTGTTTTGTTTATCCTTCCTCGAAGCCTAAACCACTTTGAAATTTGGTAAGTATATATAGTGCAGTCATTGAAGCATTATTACTCCGAATTTTTTTACTGTGAACCGAATTGCATACAATTTTGGAATTAGGTTCATCTTACCCTTAACTTCAAAAGTGAAAATGATGGTTGCCACCCCTTCTGGGGGGTGATTTTTTTTTTCAAAATAAGTATTGTAATAAATTTTAAGCAAAAAATCATCTATAAAGTTTTTCAAAAAATCCAATACTTTTCAAGTTATTGGCAATTGAAAATTCGAAATTTTTTCCCGTTTTTCATCGGTTTTTTGCAAATATCTCCAAAAATGTAAGTTTTATCGAAAATTTTATAAAGAACAAAATTGTAGCAGGTAAAACAATGAACAATTTGGTTTTTTTATAGAGTATTCTAAGTGCAATATTAAGCTAGATATCAAAGATCAAAGCCGTTTTTTATTTTGTCTGAAATTTAATCGATGTGGTCAATGCCATCTAGCGGCGAGCAGATGCATTTTATGCATTCTAATACAAAATCTTTTTATGTCATACCAAAGTATTTTTTTGTGATAATTTACAATTTAGGGGTTGTTTGCAAGGGTTGTAAGATTTTCAAGGGGTTGAAAATGATTTTAATATGGGGTAATTATGTTAGAAAATACTTTACAATTTCATCACTTACTATGAGACATGTTTTCTAGCTATAAAATGGCTCAATGACAATTTTTTTATTAAGGGGTTGTTTACACCCCTTAAAAATAATAGGCGGAGTTCAGATCATTTTCACTTTTGAAGTTAAGGGTAAGGTGAGCCTAATTCCAAAATTTCATGCAAAACGGTTCACAGTAAAAAAATTCGGAGGTAAGACCGTATTTTTCGCTTCAATGACTGCACTAATAGGTTGAAGCTTTGGGTTGCTATAAGCTACTTTTTTACTCACTATGTCAAAAGAGGATGATAGCCTCAAATAGGAAAACCACGCGAGCGTAGCCGCGGGTAACAGCTAGTTAAAAACAATAAATATAAAAAAGTAATGTTCATGAATAGCGCCATCCGAAAAACCTCAGATTTTTAGTGCAAGTAAACTCGACTCGGGTAGCGACATCTCTTCAGTTTCACACGCAACAGCTTGGTTTTCGAATTGTTATTCGAGTTGGTAGCGCCTACCTCTACTCAACATCCAGGATCATCTCCACTTGAAAATTATTGGATAATACTCGACTAAGGGACTAAAATAAATCATAACAGCTGTTTATTTAATATCTGTCTACTGTAAACAGCTGATTATTTAATATCTATTTGATGTTTATAAGATTTTCTGGTCAGATATTAGGACACTGGAGGAAGTCGTTTTTTTTTTTTTACTAATATTGTTTTAATTAAAATATCTACCTACATGACGTTAAAATTAACAATAAATATTAAAAAGTCATGTTCATAAATAGCGCGATCTGAAAAAACGCAATATCACATTCACACAACTCACATTTTTAGCAATTAAAAATTCTCGATATTAAAGACGGGTGGTGCCATCTGATAAGTTACTCAGAAAATATTATTTCAAGAGGGACTACTCGGTTGAGTTGGTATTCGAGATGGTAGCGCCATCTCTATCTATAATCACTCGAAAATGATATTTTTATATTATAAATTTGGAGTAGTATTTGCTAGATTTAATTTTAAAAATAAGATTAGAAAGAAATTGCGTAAAATTACCTCGATTTAATAAATGAAACACTAACACAAAATACTCGGTATTAAACATGAGTGGTGCCATCTCGTATTATTAAGTTAAGATAGCAACTTCCACATTTCAAATTTAATCTGTCTTCGTGACAGTAGCGCCATCTCTATCGGGACCAACCATGAAAATGATTAATTTAGTTGAAAATTATGTAAATTCGAATATATAAATTAAAAAAAAGTAGCCTATAGCAGGCTCATAAGTTCAAGCTATACATTTACCAAATTTCAACACAATCGGTTCAGCGGTTTAGGCGTGAAGAGAAGACAAACAAACAAACAAACAAACACACTTTCCCATTTATAATATTAGTATGGATATTTGTTACGTCACCGTAAACTGACGATGTAAGATGTTGTTGGGATTGCACTATACAACATAACTCAGGCGTCAGAATAAGTTTTCCTTGGTGTAGCAGTGGATAGGTATCTTTGGTGAAGGTATTTTCTTTAATAATATATCAGAAAATTCACGATCATCCGGGTTATCTACAGTTCTCACTCGCATGTTTATAGTCAAATGCACCGATTGTATATCACGCCACAAATAAGAGCTTTTCAGGCAAGCCCTAACCTCAGCAGCTCGGGTTCCCCGTGGTATTACCGTTAAGGTTTGTCGGAAATCACCACAAAATAAAACTGTGATACCGCCCATGGGTCGATCATTTTGTCTTATATCTCTTAAAGTTCTGTCTACCGCTTCTACTCCTTTTCGATGGGCCATCGTACATTCATCCTATATGATTAAATTACACTTTGAACGAATATTTAAACACTACCAAAACAACTAATACGTGGTCCTAACTTTAGCTACCTTACACATAAAATCTAAGTGACTATTTGAACTAAAATATTCTTATAGAATTATAACCAGAAATATATACAACTCACAACAAAAAAGAAATGAAAATAAAGCTGAAACGCCTGTGCAATACTATCTACCTATACCTCCTTCACTTAAAAATAAATACTTATAACTACTTTAATTAATAAAAGTACCTACGCTTAATAATTTTTAATTTGAACTAATATTTAAACACTACCAAAACAACTAATACCTGTTTTACAAAATAACAACAAAAGATATTCAAATAAACTATTTAAAGACTAAAAGTCGCGCTGATAAGCACGGTTTCGGTCTCCCAAGCGGGGGAGCAGATGAGAAATCCTCATGGATACCCAAAGCCGGCTGCAAGGTTATGTCAGACTCGTACTGACTAAAAAATACCCGTAGGGGCTGCCTCTGGCCGGTAAGGCCTCTAAGGCTTCATCGGAAGCGATCGTCCCCCAGGGGGGGAGCGACGCAGAAAACAGATTTAGACAGCTCGCTCTCGGACCTTTGATACCCTACCGCTGCCGCGACCCGTGTCGAGCGCGGCAACCGTTACACAAAAATAATCCTTAGAGCATGATTCAGTATTCACGTGCGACGGCGCGATGGCTTATTTCATGTATAAGTTTGGCGTTTCTATACCGAGTATTATAAACGTAAGAGTAAACAAATATGATCAGAATGCTCCGAACTGCTAAGCTATCGGGAGTTACACGTGTTATTGTGAGTCAACCATAAAAGATAGACATATGCTGTTGCGGGATATTTTTTAGACAATTTTATGTAGAATATTTCCGTCATACATGATTTCTATGTAACTTTAATCATTAAGGCTGCACACGCGACGGAAGCTTAAAAAAATGGTTGCCTGTAAAGTCGGTTTTACGGGCGAAGATTTTACGTGACAACGTCTTTTTCTCGGTAGAATATTTATTGATATGAATATAATTAAATTGCACAATAGGAACAAGGAATTGAATGAAAATAAGAATTGCACAAATTTTAACTATAGAAATATATTTTGTTTACTAAAACATTGTACATGTAAACTTAAACTTAACACGAGAGA